TTTTCCTCGTCGCGCACTAATTTGCGACAGAAATGAGATAATCAAAAGCCATGTTCTGCTTAAACGAAATAGAACTTGAACATAAAATAATCAGAAATCATCATGTGCGCGTAACGGCCTCTCCACTTCAGTTTAACAAGTTGCTCTCAGCATTGTCTGCTCTGGAAATCGACCTCGACAAGACCGATCCTTTTTCATCATTAACGATGATTACCATTGTCTGGTCCCAGTGTCGAAGATCGTTTGATTGTGATTTGTCACCACAAGCCTCCATGCCGCTTCTAGCTCATTATCACTGTCGATATCTTCCAGTTGGGTGTTTGCAGCCTGCTGGGCACCAAGCCATTCGTTTTTCATTCAATTCGACCTTGACAAATGGATTTAGCTACCGCACACGCATACCATGCATCTGATAAAACGTTCGCCAGTACTCCACCCCGACGAATGGAGTTCCACGTGACGGCTCTGTGAGGCCTGAACCGCTCAAGTTTTTCTCTGTGATGCCGGGTACAGGCACTTCCTCTCCAGCGATTTCTCCTTCCTGGAGATCGACATAACCGGAACAAAATGCATCAATGCCTTCATATCTTGTTTACGCGCCACTGCCATTAAACCTTAACGCAATTAGTTCGTTGAATCAATAAACACTCTAAGGAAGTCTAAACGCTGAAACTCAGGAAATAAATACAACGAAGCGAGTGCAGCTATCTGAACAAAAAAGGAACCCACTGAAGCTTCAGAACAAAACGGATAGAATACTTTTGCTTTAATGACGAAATTTAGACGTCTAAAAACGAAAACATCATGAGATTAAAAATTAATTCTACGTCCATGCCTATCCCGGCAACTTCAGAAAATCGCCATGCACCCGCTTGATTGTAAGACCTTCTGTCATACGGTAATGATTTGCTTCAACGATCTAGCCTGCAAATCGTGCGAATTTCTGTAATCCTTGGAAGATCTTGAAATGCGTGTACTTAATGCCGATTTTGGAGTAGTATTTCTGATGGGAAGCGAGTGATCGAGGTTTGAAAGTCAGCTAAAGATTTATTGATCAGAGAAATCTTGGAAGATGATAAATAGCTTATTTATTATCGCAAAAAATGGGTACGTCGTCTTTCGGCTTTTGTACGGCATTTCATGTTTTGTACTTCTTTCGCGTCGAGCTCTGCATAAGTTATACTCATTAGTTTCATGTATGAACTTTTTCACAGAGTTCCTAAGAAAGAATCATGTACATATTTCGATTTGGGTTTACAAAGTTGTTTTTCACTCTTGTCGAGCGCAATTGGGTTTGCTTCTGTCTCGACATGGGTGAAAAATGCTGTTCAGATTTCTTGACTGTGAAGTTAGTATAAGCACATGAGCTGATTTCATTTTGGGAGAAATGTTAAACAACTTCCCAAGACGGTGAGTGGTCTACTATCAACCGCCAATTTTTTGTCATCGCTGACACAGTCGTCATAGTCATTTTTGCGATCGACTGTTTTTGTATCGATGAAGACCTATAAAGAATTTGCCATCAGCGTCTGTTTTGTGTTTTTTTCGTTTTAATTCTGGAAATTTTTTTTTCTTATCGTGTCATCGATCTAATGATCTTCATCTTCATATGAGCCGTTTACTCTCTCTAGGAACCCAATCAAATATCCCTGTTCCAGCGATGGTCAGTTCTTCTTGCAAGGTATCCTGCCCATTGCCATTTCAGTTTCTTTACTCGTGCAGTGATATGGAAGATATTGTTTGTGACATAACCCTTTCATTCGTCTTCCTATCTTTTCTTATTATTCACACCATGTGCTTTTCCACGCTGTAAATTTTACAGTCTGCGGTTTATCAGTAGGTTTTAAGCTTAGGGTCTGCGTTTCGCATCCACGGTTGGTATTAGGAGCACATTGTTCGAAAATTTTCCGTTTCGAGCACAACTGAAGTGTCGGGAATAGCAACATTTTCAGTCTTTCAAAAGTGCTTTATGATATTTTTATCCTTCTGCTCAGTTCGCAAAGTCGGTTCTCCGTTGCGGAGATGAGCCGTCCTAGACAGACGTCGTTTTGACCTTTTCAAGTCTCCTTTTTACATAGATTTCTTCAGGTCATGGAGTCACGAATTTGTTTGACTTCAAATTCATTTTAATCCATCTTTTATTCTGGCATCGTTCAGCGCTTGGATTCTTCTTGGAGTTTTTCTGCTGATCTATGAGGATCAGAATATCGGCCGCAAACCGCAGATTGTTGAAGTATTGTCCATTTATATTCTGTTTCAGATTTTCTCAAAGGAGTGTTTTGAAGGTTTCTTCTGTGGCTGCTGTGAATGACTTCAGTGATATTATATCACCCTTTCGAACGCTTTTTGATTTGTACTTTTTTGCCGCTGTATACTATCAGTTATACTCTTGTAAATCACTGCGCTGATGTCTCTGTCCTTTCTCGATTTCTTGGCTCCACAAGGAAACCAGTACTGAACGGATGTTGATTAAGTCGAAAGCCTGATCGAAATCGACGAACCTTAGAAGAGAGGAAGCTGATAGCTTATGTGTTGCTTGTCTGAAGTACTTGTTGTGCCACGTTAAGGTGATCTAATTCACTTTTAAATCCTGTTTGCTTTTTTGCTTGAACAGAGCCCCGTTCTTCCACCTGACTGGCGTGGTGGTTGCTTATGGCCGGTTGAAATCACAGCTGAAGCCGATGCACTATGTTAATGTTGAAATATACTTCTCAAACGGACAGTGACAACTCCATATAAATAAATTGAAAGCATTTCGTTTTAGTCGAGTTTGTTTTCCGATTACCACTCTCGTTCTGGGGAGTGTGTGATTTTAGCAATGCACTCAGTCAATGACGTTGCAGGCTTAGGCTTCCAGGTATTGCTGACTTACGGTTAATTTTTTTGTCCACAAAGATTTCGCCTTCCATGGCAGCTATCCGTAAATCGGAGGCCATTGGAAGATAGTTCCTGCGAAAAATTCGGCCGTCTTGACGCTTTGATTGGCTCGTATGGCTTGAGATTGCAAATCTTGCAGCAGTCCTGTTGGACTTGCGCCGTTATTAGTCTTCCCGATTTTTCCAATACATTGTGTAATTCCTCCGAGTAGATTATACCCTGCAAAGTACGCATTATTCAAAGGAAAAAATTGGTCATTTGCGGTCAGCGGTTAGATTTAATTCTAGGACCACTGGACTTCATTGGTCCAGTTTACCTCTTTCACTGCCAGGAGAGAGGGCTAGCTGAATCCCAAAGATCGAGCGAGCAGTTTTAATCGAACTGTCGTCGTGTACGTGTGCCAGTCCCTAAATGTTTTTCTGACTTACACATGGTTTCTTCTTGTATTTACTGTCATACACTTGTTTCTGCTCTGTTGAACGACAACAGTAAGGACGGCTGCATAATGGAGGTTAACAAAATTTTTGAAAGTATGGGCTATTTCGAGATTATTTTTTCAGACATCGTTTCATTCTTTGTAAAAGGAATAATGGCAGTTTTTTCCATGCCCTCGTCTCAAGATTTGGATCCGTAGCAGCAAACCTGACTCGATTCGCAACTGCTTACATTAATGGCTATTGTAAAGGCAGCTGAAGTTTCGTCTCTCTGCTATCATAGCAATGACTTGTTTAACTTTGCTCTTGGATTTCGTTCGACGATGCTAAGAGTTCACAAACTTATTTACTGTATGAGTAATCGATAGTTTGGTTTAACCGAATTTAGCCTGACTAAAGCCTGAATCGATTTACATCAGTTTAACTCGTCTGTACTGCATTTAGACATATTTTTAATCACAGTCTCAGTGGGAATCGATGAGTCACTGAAACGCCTTCGGTGTTTGACCTTTGATCTAGCCAGTTTTGTTTCCCTATCTGCTTTAACACGAGAAATAGACCAAAGAATCGTCTTTGCCATTCTGAACATGTTAGGAAATTTCCAGAGAGAAAAATTTTACGTCCGACGTTTTACTTTAGTAATTAGAGTTCATCTGCAGGAAAAAATTCTGCATCTACGCAACTTAGTGACCAGTCTATGAGTGGTAACAACCATCCCTATTGCA